CAGCTATGTAGGCTAGCCTAGCGTATGTACCTCCCATTTCTGTGCTATTTTCCCGGCAGTGCTGTCGGCATGCTGAATCTAAGGAGTAGAAGTGATTCAGTCCTTACTTTAGCTTCTGACAGCGCTTTGAGCTATGCAGCTATGTAGGCTAGCCTAGCGTACGTACCTCCCATTTCTGTGCTATTTTCCCGGCAGTGCGGTCGGCATGCTGAATCTAAGGAGTAGAAGAGCGCTCTGAGCTATGCAGCTATGTAGCTAGCCTAGCGTACGTACCTCCCATTTCTGTGCCATTTTCCCGGCAGTGCTGTCGGCATGCTGAATCTAAGGAGTAGAAGTGATTAAGTCCTTACTTTAGCTTCTGACAGCGCTTTGAGCTATGCAGCTATGTAGGCTAGCCTAGCATACGTACCTCGCATTTCTGTGCTATTTTCCCGGCAGTGCTGTCGGCATGCTGAATCTAAGGAGTAGAAGTGATTCAGGCCTTACTTTAGCTTCTGACAGCACTTTGAGCTATGCAGCTATGTAGGCTAGCCTAGCGTACGTACCTCCCATTTCTGTGCTATTTTCCCGGCAGTGCTGTCGGCATGCTGAATCTAAGGAGTAGAAGTGATTCAGTCCTTACTTTAGCTTCTGACAGCACTTTGAGCTATGCGGCTATGTAGGCTAGCCTAGCGTACGTACCTCCCATGTCTGTGCTATTTTCCCGCCAGTGCTTGAATGGAATTGCAGGCACCGCCCCAGCGTGCAGCGTCGCCCGGCGGCCGTGCGTTGCGCGCAGAGGCTCTCTAAGCAGTCAGCAGGAAGGGTCACAGGGTCAGTAGTCGACAGGAGGTGCATGCAGGTGCTCTTCCAGCTTGGGATGGGGTTGACAGCTTTTGACGTGGCGATTGCTACACCGGCGCCTTGACAATAGATATGTAGCGTCTCTGATCGGTTTGATCCCGCTGTTGGCTGCAGTTCTTACCTTCGACACTTTCGTTTTGGCACGGAACTAAGAGCATGATTCATGATCAATATTCTGAAGCGCTACGAGGACGGTGCCAGTCCTTCATCCCTATGAAAGCAAACCAGAAACTGCTTATAGAATGCCAAGCTCAGAAAGTCAAAGTACATCAAAGCACTGAACTCATAACATTTGCATGTTGGCAACATGTTGGTATCCCGAAGATCAACTCAGCAGCCCTTCAAGGCATTGCCACCGGCAGGGCGCGCGCCCTCACCGGCACGCCAGCTTGCAGGGGAGGTTGGAACACAGTGCAATCCGGATTCGAAGCGTCGGTGCCATGGTGTTTGCGTACAGTGCTGGCTCAATCATGCAGGCATACTGCGGCACAGTATAGATTCAGACCTGCTTGAGAAGCATTTCCGAAGGACCAGGGGTTCAAAGGTGGAAAGCTTGGAAGCGGGATGTGTGCGTGTCGGTCGCAGCGCCGTGAGACTTGTTTGAAGTTCGCTGTTCCGCATGTCCGTGCACAAGTCTCAGCAGCCGCGAGCAGATCCGAAAGAAGGTAGTAGCGAGGCAAGAACATCATGCTGGCGGTCAATGCGCGCATGTTCGCTTGCGCTGCAAAACCTGCAATGCAG